TGGTCTTGTCTCCGCCCCCTCCTGTAATAAAGACCGCTCACTGCTGCTCTCTTTCCTTGTGCAGGGTGACTGGTCTTGTCTCCGCCCCCTCCTGTAATAAAGACCGCTCACTGCTGCTCTCTTTCCTTGTGCAGGGTGACTGGTCTTGTCTCCGCCCCCTCCTGTAATAAAGACCGCTCACTGCTGCTCTCTTTCCTTGTGCAGGGTGACTGGTCTTGTCTCCGCCCCCTCCTGTAATAAAAAACCGCTCACTGCTGCTCTTTGTGCAGGGTGACTGGTCTCTGCCCCCTATGTAGTTGTCTGCAGGAAGCCTGCAGTAGGTGGAGGCAATTAGGCCCCTCCCAGTGCTCTGCTTAGACTGATGCAGTCACGTCTATATTTATCTGGGTCTGGAAAGGCATTTGGGCACACACCAAAAGTGGATTTATAGCCCTTGGTTATTAAAGAATATATTTAAATGAAAGGTTCTGTGCCCGGAGTTCCGCCTTATTACTTTCAGAGAGCGGAAGAAATGACAGTGGCGGGTGGTGAACGGACGGCGCGTTCTAACAAAACACAAATCCAACTCCAAAGCCCAATTCAAGGTGTTTTTGATTGTCATGTATCGCACGTCGTGATTTGTGACAGAGTTGTTTGGAAAAGCCTTTTTAACTCCCCCTCTTCCGCTTAGTAAATGGTTGCTTCCTGCCCTCTCTCTGCGGAGCTCTGTGCTGGGAGAGCTGAGTAACAGACACACCCCTTCCATAGACCTGTACTGGAAGAGTAGAGAGTGGGCGTGTCTGAGTAGGTCTGTGTATTACCGGGTCTGGCGGACGGCAGCGTTATATGTAGACACGCCGCACAACTGCTGTGACAGGAAAGTGGAGGGAAGACAATGGAAGGGTCCTAAGATCGAGCCCCAGCCAGGGGTCCTTCAAGGACCCTTATATCAAGAAAGTTGACCACAACTGTTTCACGCACACACTATAAAAACACGCACGCGGGTCTGCATGTTTTCAGCACGGTATGATCCCGCTCCCACACACCTAGGTAGCTACAGAATGTAGGATATTCTGGTAGCACACAGCAGCTGATCTGACGGCATCTCTGTGACTTCACCCAGTTTATTCTACACTGCAGCCGGCCAATCATCCCCCCCGGCCGCCAGCCCGCCCCCTCGATATGTACAGAGAACATGATTTTGTATTCGGCGTTTTGCTGGATAAGGACTCACTTTTGCAGAAGAGCATTTTTAAACCTCTCGGCGTTGAGTTCTATCCGGAGCTGCTCCGCGCTCTTCCGGGATGCAGAGAGGAGCACCGGGTGTCTGACGAGGGCCACCGAGGACGGCCTCCTCCCCGGATCGGGGGAAATCATAAGCTGAAGGACAAAAAGAGAGCGTTGGTTTCCGGGGTAACGAATCATTTATCATACAAGTTATTAAGCTCGGCGCGTTTCATATTAATATTTCCTGGTGGTGTTTCTCATATTTTGGGCCAAAAACTTCCACATCTGTTCCTCCGGCACTCACCACAGCTTACCCGAATGTCTGCGCACACCAAGTGCTTCACATGGAACAAAGGACAACGCAGACATGACAACTGCATACAGTAATCTGTTTTCCTACCGCCCTGTAATAGCAGTGATCTCTAAGAGTCTCAAGTAACGTGCTCCCAGTGTCCTGAACCAACCGTCGTTCCCCTCCCCGCACCACCAACAACTGCTAACATGCTATAGGAGTTGCTGGTCATCTCTTACAGCAAGCCCATAGTCACCGACCATAGACTCATGTCTGCATTCTTCCAGCATTCAGTAGCATTACAGTCACATGTTATGTAGATCCCTTCTGCAGCGTCAGGGGCCGCACCTAAAAGGAGAACTATG